ATCGTAATGCGGTATACCTGCTCCTCATCAAGTGAGTGCGGCACACCTACACACAGTACCTGGCGAAAATTGCACCTGCGACGTCGACGTAGTCTGTATGGCTGATCATATCTGTATCTTGGCTAGTAATCCTTAATGTACTAAAGTGCTAACTCTCTGTAATTTCCCAGTGTATTGTAACCAAACATGGTATGGCATCCTGCTCTTCTGGCGTCATGCATACTTGAATGGAAAGCTTGATTGTCACCCTGGCATGATCTGCTGCTGTTAATTGGTCTTTTTCGCCATGTCGAAAATCGACATGTTGTACCTGCAACTGTTTACCTTTCCTGAGGTCAAACTTAACCTCAAGAAAAGTTTATCATAACTGATCCTTCCTACGAATTCTCAAATCATCTGTATTTGAGAATCGAGGCTCTGAACATACTGAAAGTAACTGATAAGTCTTGTCTTATTAGACAGACCATCTTCGACCTTGACATGACTGACCTGAATATTCTCATGACTGAATAACCAGGACTTGATTCGTACATGACTGAATCATCTTACCTTGAACGCTGAACTATCCCAAGATAATAAAATAATCATCTCGGAATTTGGAACATGACGTTGACTGACTTATTTAACTTGATAAGGTACGACTTCAAGTTTCCAGGTAAATCTGGACTAATAGCCTGTATATCAGACCGCCACATTTTACCCGGCTGAACAACTATTATACGCCGACCTTACATCATGAACATAAACTGTAAATTGTGAACATTGGCTCATGACTGTGTACTATATGGGGCTGCTCCAGTGTCAACTGGTCCCGCAAGTACTGAATAAATGACTGATCTTTAAACTTTGGCAATTAAATTTCAGAGTATCTAACTGGTAAGATACCCGACTTAACTGACTCTAAAGGTTGTTACTTCTGAAACTGTGCTGCTCCGGTTCCAGCTCCAAGCCTCCATGGTATACCCGGCTTAGTGGCTCTTATTTCAAGCCTCCATGGTAACCCGGACTTTTGGCTCTTATACACTGAAAAACCGTTACTTGATAATAACTTAAAAATTTTTAACAACCTTTAATATGAAAACTTGTTGCCCTGAACTTGTTTTACTGACTTGACTTAGGGAAATTGAACTCATTCCCAGTCTAACTCAAGGAATTCCTTCCTTGGAATATGCCAACTAATTGGCAAAACAAACAATTTTCAATAGGAAAATGTCTGAGGAACATGATTGCGAAGATTTGTATAACATAATTGTTTACAAATCACTGAATGAGGTATTAACTTAATCTGAATAAATCTAGAATGGGATCTAGGGTTCTCAATCCTAGCCCCTTTCTAGAGTTCTGAAATCGTACTTGAATCCCCTCACTGATGACTTTATTGAAGCTGATCAATAAAGGACACAAATCTCTTGACGAGTTGCTAAACATGACTGGGGAATACTGATATAAAATTTCAAGTATACTGGCTACTGGTCATGAACATGATTCGAGCATCTTAACTATGTCATAACTGAAGAATTTCTGAGCATAGAAATAGTAAATTGTTTATAATTTAAAACTGAATCAGCACTTACCTGGTAGTCGGCGAGGTGTGAGCGTGGCGTGGTCGGGTTTTCTGAAAACTTTCTAACATACTGAAGTATTCAGATACACAAAAACGTGCTCTGATACCAACTGTAACACCCCGCTTTTCCTTAAATATCAGAGTGCATTTTTCGCAAAACTTTTCTTAATAATACATATTTATTTGCGAAATCCTTTTCGGGATGCTACTAAAAACCATTAATTGCTTTGAGAATCCGTTATCTTTATTGAAACTTTAACTTTGAAGAATAGACGGATTATTTTAGATCAACTGGCATGTAACACTTTATAAAAATCTGTCTGATAAATTAGTTTAAAAATAAAAACTGACATGCTAGTTGAAATATCATAAAGTGACAGCGGAAGTCATACGTGGCAAAATATAATCATACAATAATGTACTATGGCTGCTAGCCATATCTGCGACCACGATCCACCGACCAGCTCACTCCTCTAATCCGACGCTGTAGCCTGAAAACATGATAATAGTGGGAGCGTGAGTACTAAAACACTGTACTCCGCAGAAACTCATACTAATGTAAACATTAATAATAATTGCAATATCATGATCTAGAGCATATATATAACTGAACTGTCATGTCATGTACTGTAACTGCGATCAACCGTAACTGATACGGGATCGAATGCTGTATCTGGCGGCTATAATATACTGCGCCGCGCCTATGTGCA